CTGGGAATGATGGGCCCCTCCAGGCACAGGGGATGATGTCCGCCCCTCCAGGCACGGGGAATGATGGGCCCCCCCTCCAGGGAATGCTGCCTCTACAAGCGGGCTGCTGTAAGGGCACCATCCCCTGTTGGCACACGCTTTGCCTACCCCGGTAATGCTTTTCCTGCCCCTCAAGGAGGCCGTGCATGGGGCTCCTCCTCTTTGAGGAGAAGTTAATTTAAGGCCAATTACTATTTCTGAAATCAGGGAAATGTTGGCTAGTTGACCTTGAAAGGTAAAATGCAGTGGGCACGCGACGTTCGGACAGCGTGTGAGGTACCACTCCCGGGCAGAGGCGGTACTTTATACGTCGACGGGAGTACAAACGTCTCCATCACAATAACAGGAGAATTAGTTTTTAAAAAGTGAGACCTAACATGAGCATCTTTTGCTTCTTACTTCCTACTCGGGCCAGTTTTTAATTACCCAACTGGTATTAAGAAAGGGAAAACAGGCTGGCTATCAATAGGTGCAAGGGAAGAACTTGTAACCCCCTGAGATTTTTTTAAAATTTTGATATGAATCAGATGGTTTAGTACAGTGCACTCAGTCGTTATGTCTTTTTCTTAAAATGGGCAGGTGTGGCTGCAGGTACCTTTGATGCAAGAACCAGAAGGAATCGAGGGACCCCAAGTGACTTTGGAAACACTCTGAAAGAACGGAAAAGCGAGGAATGCTTTCTGTCTTGGGAAAGCTTCCTGCTAGTGTCACTTGCCTTTTTTAAATAGAGCATTAGAACATAAAACTGAGCAAGCTGAAGAACAAGTGTTGCTTATGGAATGGTCTTCAGAGGTACTGGTGGATTTTCAGGTGGCCATTTGGAATAACAAGTGATGCAACAAAAATAATTACATCTTCCTTTTGGGAAGGGTGGGGCGTAGCCACAGGACAAGAGAATTTTAGTAGCCCAGCTCTGGAGTGAGAGAGAAATTTCCTAGTACTGTGAAAAGTCATCCTGGGATTTGAATGATTTTTTTTTTTTTTTATGTGTGTGTGGCTGGAAAATATGTACACTTGCCATTAATTTTCAAAATGCTCTATTTCAAAATGTTTTTTCTTGCTTTCTTGCCATATTGAGTTAAATAATGTAGACAGCTGTGCCTTTCTCTTCAGCGTGTGCTGACAGCTCTTAATTTCTCAGGTTTTATTTTCAACACAGGTTTGGTTTTGTGGGGTTTTTCCCCTCACTTTGAGAAACAAAATCTTAATTTTTATTTCTTAAACTTTTCTTGGCAGGTGGAATTT